GTAGAGTCAGTGAGGTTTGTATCCGTTGGTGGAAGAGTGAGTCACGGACATTTGTATCTGTTGATAGAATAATAAGTCACTGACATTTGTATATGTTGATGTAGTAGCAAATCATGGACATTTGCATCTGTCGATGGAGTAGCAAGTCATGGATATTTGCATCTGTCGATGGAGTAGCAAGTCATGGATATTTGCATCTGTCGATGGAGTAGCAGGTTGTGGAGATTTGTATCTGATGTTCAGCACAAACTCATGTATGCTTGCATAGATATATTAATACAGTAGCAAGACATGAACACACATTATATACAGAGATTGAGAATATTAAAACAATACTGGAACCTCACAGTCTTCGTCATCCTGTGCAGCCATGCTCTATCTGATGACTGTACATCTTGAAAGTAGCCCTGCAGCATAGTTTCCATTGCAAAAGGCTATGTAACCAGGTTATCATGTCCAAAATTTATGACTACCTGAACACTTTTCACAATCCATTTAGTGTTTGAAAATGACAGTTTCTCAGTACCTAGTTCAACAGTCCAATCACACATAAATCTACAGAAGTGTTGGATATACAAGATTGTTCAGTTTACGTTATTTTTTAGTTTATTTAGTGATTTAATATTTCATTCTTATTTTCAAAAGAAGAGTGTTAAAAGTTAATGATTTTAAAAGTGATAGTTGTGACAAGTTTCGTTACGTAACTCTGTACAAGTTGTACGTTGTGTATGCAGTTTAATTGTTGTACTAGGCTTTAGTAATATTGTTGACATCATCTTATTCGAAGCTTCTAAGTTTTCTTGATATATGTGTAATATTATTGTTACTAGAAGACTAAATCTTTCTGTCGGGCATTATAAATATGTGCAGTTAGTGAAAGGAAAAGTGAAAGACTAAGTGTGAGTTTAGCGGTAATGTGCAATTCTTAAAGTGAGTTTAACAGATTGCATTGTAATAACAGAGACAAAGGAGAATAATGTCTTGTTAAAGGATTATCTAAAGTAATTGAACACGCCTGTGTAGACTTTGACAAAAAGGAGATAATTATTTAAAGCTCTGGACACAACTGTGGTGAACATCGGTTATAATGGTGATTTTAAAGTGAGTATCACAGCCTTGTATCGTAACAACAGAGATAGAGAAGAATAATTTGTCTTGTCAATTGGGTTCAAAAGTAACTGAACTAGCCTATGTGGATTAAAGCTCTGGATACAACTATGGTGATTAACTGTATAACATTTGTATATATACACTTGACTTATTTTGAATATATTATTTTGAAACAAGTGAATTTTGTGCTGTCTGTTTATTGTTGAAATTTATCAACAACAAGCCACAGACACCTACTGTAAAGAATCACAGCCTTATAAAACTTGACATGATGATACATCTGGAGGCTTGATCAGTATGTGCTTGTATGGGATAGCATGAATACCTCCAGCTGTTTGAGGTAGGAGATGGTTGATGTGTTGTGGAAGAAACTTGTGTACATACCACTTCTGTTCCTTTTTCAGGTGACTGTTACATACCCTTTCCAAAAGCAATCATTTCAATGGCATTAAAATATTTACAAAATGCCAAGTATGTCAAAATATAGTTTTAATGCCATTCCACCAAATCTTTATATTTTCTTGACTTGTTGATTTGCATATTCAAAATAGATCCTCGTCATCGAATTTGATATTCAAAATAGTTTTACTATAAGATACTCAACCCTCTTTATATATCAGTACAGCATCAAGCCCTGGAAAGTTTTGTCAGTAGAGTAACAAGTCCTGGAAGTTTTGTCAGTACACTAGCAATGAGTCATGGAAATGATTAATTGTCAGTACAGTAACAAGTAATGGACATTTTCAATTTTCAGCAAGTCATGAAGAATTTTGTTAGTACAGCAGCTAGTCATGGATAATTTTAACTGTCAGTATAGAAACATATTAAGGACATATTTGCTGGTACATTATCAAGTCCTTTTATTTTATTCATTGTATTTTTTTTAGTATAACAGCAAGTCTCAATAATAGCATCAAGTCATGGACATTTGTGTGTGCTAATAAAGCAGCAAATCTGTCACTACAGCAATATAGGATTTTGATATAATGGGAATAACTGAAACATGGTTAAAGATAGATGATTTTGATGATGGAAATTTATTTGAAATACAGGGTTACAGGCTATTTAATAGGGTTAGAGTATTAAAGAGGGGGAAGTGGCTAAAAAAAAGTAAGTTACATCCTGTTGAAGTTTAGGATATCAAAGATAATAGCAAGGAAATTGAATCCATTTGGGTTTCTATTAATGGATATAAAAAGAAAAGACTTTTAGTGGGAATTTGTTACAGACCACCAAATGATACTGATGAAATTAGTGAGAAACTTTACAATGAGATTAAGATTTCAGCTGTTAATGAAGTCATAATTATGGGTGGTTATAATTAAAGGCATATAGATTGGGAAATGCTAAAGTCAAACCATGAGGGAGAAAGGTTTTTAGAAACTGTTCAGGATGGCCTTCTTCATTGATTAGTCAAGAAAGCTACTAGAAACACTGCTATTTTAGATTTATTGTTAACTTCAAATACAGAAATGATCGAGAGGGTGGAAAATGAGGAACATCTGGGTGCAAGTAGTCACAGCTCTATGATATTTTGGTTACAAATTTTGAAAGGACGCAACAAGAACTATCTGTTGTGAATTAGACAATTAGATAAATTTATAAATATTCAAGGTAAACATATTCCTTATAGAAAGAAAAGGGTAGCTGCAAGTAAAAAACCAGGTTGGCTCACAAAGAGTACGAGTTAAAACTTAAGAAATTTAAATTCAATGATATGACAGGAGATTTAGGACATCAAAAAAGATGTATGAGAAAAGGTTGGCTGAAAATGTAAAAATTAACAGTAAGGATTTCTTTAAATACATTAAGGGTAAACTAAATGTTAGAATGGGATAGGACCCTTGAGAGATGACAAAGGAAGGCTAATATCTGATGATTATGAGATGGCTGGGTTATCAAATTTTACTTTTTCTTTGGTTTTATTAATGAATATTTAAGTAGTATTCCACATCTTGAACAGTTGATAAATGGAAAAGAGATGAAACAAAATGACTGCATTAATTCTGAGCTGATTAAGAAAAAATTGGGAAGTTTAAAAAACGATATTGCTCCGGGGCCAGATAATATTTCCCCAAGAGTTTTGATGGAGGTTAAAGATTCGATATGTGAGCCACTTCTATTTTTTGTCAGTCCTTGAATAGTGGGTAGGTACCGGACGATTGGAAGTTAGCTAATGTAACTCCTCTTTCCAAGGGAGGTGATAAAAATTGTCCCAGTAATTATAGACCCATTAGTCTTGTACCAGATGTGGAAAAAGTTTTGGAAAGTTTGTTAAAAGATGCTTTGCAAAGTCATTTAACAAATCTTAGAATTTTATTGGATAGTCAACATGGTTTCACTAAGGGAAAATCTTGTCTTACAAGTCTTTTGACATTCTTTGAAAAGGTTATTGCTTATGTAGATGTGACCTAATCAGTGACCAGTACAATGAAATTATAACCTCTTTAGAGTTGCATTCAATATTTCTGTAGATACAACCAAAAATCCTATTTGTCTTACCACTAGCAACAGCAAACTGCCTGGTTGCCTTTAGAGACTGATCAACTATTACACCAAAATCCCTTTCTTTCATAACACTGTAGATTTGGTACATCAAGATTTTCAAAAAGTATTTGATACGGAGTCACAGAAAAGGCTTGTAAAAAATGATCTCTAAAGGTGTGGGGGGATAAGTTAGCAAATTGGATGGAAGAAAGCAGTGGGTTGTTACAAATGGAGTTCAGTGAAACTGGATTGATGTCACAAGTGGGGTACATAAGGGCTCATTCTTAGGACCTTTGCTCTTTTTGATTTACATCAATGATATAGATGAAGGAATAGTCAATAAATTACTTAAATTTGCAGATGACATTAAGGTCTTGCTAGCTGTGATGAGGATGCTGCTGATTTACAAAAGGATTTAGATCATTTTGTGAGTTGGGCAAATAAATGGCAGATGGGTTATAATAATTTGAATTATAAATATAATTTGGATGGAAATAACATTAATAGTGTTATGAAGGAAAGGGATTTTGGTGTAATAGTTGATCAGTCTCAAAAGCCATTGAAGCAGTGTGCTATTGCTAGTGGTAGGACAAATAGGATTTTCAATTTTATCTACAGAAATATTGAATACAAGTCTAAAGAGGTTATAATTTCATTGTACAGGTCATAGATTAGGCCACAATTGGAATATTGTGTTCAGTCTCGAGCTCTTTACCTTAGGAAAGGCATTTAATTGTTGGAAAGGGTTCAGAGAAGGGTTAGTATGTTACCTGGGATGGAGATGTTGTCATACGAGGAGAGGCTAAAATCTCTCATATTGTTTTCTCTTGAAAAAAGAAGCATTAAGGGGGATCTGATTGAGGTGTTTAAGATTGCAAAGGGAATTGATTGGGTTGATGCTTCATTGTTTCTCATATTTAACAGTGAGAATAGTGGGACTACGGGACACAGATATAAATTTTGGCAAGGTAGGAGTCATTGTCAGCTCAGACAGTTTCATTTTTCTAACAGAGTAGTTAGCCTTTGGAATGGGTTGCCTTCAGATGTTGTAGAGCCAGTAAATTTAAGCGAAGTTTAAAAAAAAGATTGATATGTATATGAAAGGGCTGGCTTTAAAATTTTAATTCTTTTAATTTAGTTCAGAATATGGAACAGCCTAGATGGACTAATAGGTCCCATATTGTCCCAAAACGTTACAAGTAATGTACATTCTTCTATCATTGTAGTAGCATGGCTGACACTTTTTGTCAGGACTGCTGTATGGCATTGATAATTGTATATTGTATGTTAGAACAGACCTATGATATGAACACTTGCATAGAGTTAAGAGTACAGATATTCTTAAGCCTTTTCATGTTACTCCTTCAACTCCACAAATATTATGTAGAAAAATAACTTCTACAATAAAGCCCAATGTTTTATTGAAAAGAAAAATTATGTCCAAATAATTAACATAACCAAAGATTTGTTTATTGAGGTGGCAGATCAAATACTGCCTGCTTGAACAAAATATTTCATGGCAGTTTGAAAAGTAAATTCTAATTTATATTCATTAAACCCATAACAACAAAACTGTTCCTTACAGACAATATTTAACAAAACTTTTCATAAATTAGGTTTCTTTCTACAACTACTCCTAAATTTTAGGGGTCAACAAATACCTTGATATACTCTTCAAGACCCTAAATGCCAAATTTTAAGAAATCTAACAAAACTAAGAGAAACATATGCAAAAAAATATTGTAGAGTATGTTTGTAACCAGGTTTAAAAAAAACTAACACCAAAACTTAACAAATGCCAAAGTTGATGAAAGCCACTCTAAAAATTAATGAATAAACACATTTAACAAAGTTATTTACACTTTTTTCCACTCACTAATACATTGCAGATAGGGAAGAAAACCCATCTTTCCACATTACTAAGATCTGCAGATATGAAAGATAAACAGCTAGCTAGTTGCTAGCTTTCACCCTGCACCAAATACAGTAGTTTTAATGTTCAAATGCTTGAAAAAAAAAGGCATTGTGATGCAAGTAAACTTATAAACCACTATGTTTTCTTTTCAATAAATATTGTTATAAATTCCTAAATAACTGACCTAAATCATTTCATACTTTTTCAAGCATTCTAACAGCATCACATTTTCATCTTTCAACCTGTTGACTTCTTCCTTTAATGCTGTATTTTCCTTTTCCAAAAATGAAGCACGAAGAACAATCTGGTTTTCTTTTATTCTACGAGCTTCACGAGATCTCTTGGCAGCAACATTATTCTTAGAGCGCCGAGCCCAGTACTTTTCATTCTTTAAATCATCAGGCACTAAATGCTTCTTGGACTTCTTGAGCATTGGTTGTGGCCTCAGTTCATCATCAGAGAAGCTGTGTCGAGAAGGGTCAAAGTGAATTTGACCTGGAACACATGCAAGTGCTAGATCTTTTGTGGAAAAGTTACAATCCAATTGAGAGGTATGGTTTACCTGTGCCACTGGAGAAGCTTGAGGTTCTTCCACATGGGTTTCTTGGTCCGATGATGAAGTTAAGGGATCTCCCCTGTGGCTCTCTTGGCATGATGAAGTAGGTGATGTAAAAGATTCTGATATGGTTATAAGAAAATTAAATTTAAGGAAACAGCACAGTAGCTTGTGCTTAAAATAATATATTACTTCTGATATTAAAAATCTATATTTCAAACACTTTGACTTGGAGTTTCATTTTTAGAACTGAACTTAATGGCATTACTCTTAAGAAAGTTGTACATGAAAAAAACAACACTTTCCAGACAGATCACGGGTCAAAGGCCATGTAATCGCATTTGTTGACTCGCATTCAAAATTTTATCAAATTAGTATTTTATGAATTTATATCATTAAGTTTGGTATCAAACTTTACATTATAATTCAAATTTTGATATTATATATATTATTTAAATTATTAATTTAAAAGTAAATAATAAAAAACACAGTTAAACATCGATTTTTGTGTGTCACATGGTATGTTCAATGCAGCACTTGTTCAAATTAGATGTTTGTAATGTCAAAATACAAAGTCCATAGTTTTGTATGAATTAGGAACTCAAATTACCGATATTGACAAGACAGAATATAAAATAAGAAGCTCCTATCTTTTCTATTTGCCGAGATATCGCTCATGTATTGAATCAAACATAGTGGCCCCGCTCACCTCTAATTTCTATATATGACATGTGAATACCCAATCAAAAGCTCAGAATGTCACCCTAGTGGCTTTCTCAGCCATTTTCAAATATAATGGCATCATTTCTTTCTTTTAAGACAGACCTTCGTGCTGGCAAGTTGAGTCTTTAACCTGTTTGAAATTTCATATTTGTTTAGACCCAAATACAGCTTAGTTACTAAACTTGATAAATCATAATGGAATTCTATGGTATCAATATAGTAATTTATGATTTTTTGGTTATTCAAATATATATATATATATATAAAACAAAAAATATTTCATTTCACACCCTCCATGTGTGAAATTTCTTAAGGCTTAGTATGCTACGACAAGCAGCGACCAAGTATATTAGTCGTAACTAGAAGAGATATTTGTTTGCTTTACTTCTTTATTTACTGTTCTATGTTTAAGAACAATAAGTTTAAGAACTTGTTTACAAATAATAATCTATATACATATATAATGTATTATAAATGAAATGTCACTATAATTTGCAAAATACTAGTCCACTAAAACAAAGCCAAGACAGGTCACTTTGTTAAAACTAAAGGTCAGTTTTATATTATTGGAAATGGTAATATGAGTGCACATGCGCCATGTCATTATAACATCTGCATTGTTAGCCAGGCACGGTTGAAAGGTCAAAATAATAATAATAAATATATATAAATGTATAGCATTATAAGATTTAAGCTATTTAGTCTAAACATTTATGTTTTCATGTTATAATCTGTAGTCATTCTAGAACAAAAAAGGCATAATTTATATTTATTTTGTAATTCTTTTATGGTGGTTACGAGATCAGTCAAATCGACCAAACCTGTACAGAGACTTGTTAGTGAAAATAACAGATAAAATATAAAATTTTTACTTAAGAAACATTTGATAAACTATCTGCACATTATACGGATTTTGCATCTGAAATTTGAAAATTTTATGATGCAAAAAAGTATTTTTAATCTTAAAATGAAATTTCTTTGTTGGATGAGCAATATGCAAAAAGAAAAAAGGCATGAGAAAAACATTGCTTAACAAACCTTAACACTTAATAAACAAATCTGATATTTTGCATATGAAAGCAGTGTAATGTTTACTGAAAATCTGCCAAATTTCAAGAAAATATGCTTACTAAATTAAAAGTTATAGCATGAAAACTATAACAAGCAGAAAATGGTTACGAGATCGGTCCCAGGGACAGAGCCCATGATGAAAGAGATAAAGTAGCATTTTCTCACACACATACATCACTTGCTTACATTTGATAGAAAGTCAAACCAAGTATTAAGTAGAATACAAAACATATCAAGTACTAAGCATGTATGGATTATATCTAAATCTCTGTCTTAATGTACATATACTCACTTGTAGGAAAACAAGTGTGACTCAAGTCACAGGAAGGGCTTGTTCCTGGACTTGAACTCTGAGGACTAGCTTTATCTGATAAGCTGTGTGGGATTCCATTCTCTTGCAGAAATTCATCTAGGTCCATATACTCCAATTTAAAGTCAGAGAGTGTTTTATCCCACAGTGTAGGACCCAAGAAAGCTGATGAGCCCATGAATTCCAACTCTCCATTACTTTCTTCCTTCTCCTCAGATTTTGCTGACATAGAAAATGTAAAGGTATGTTAAATTGATGCAAAAGCTAGCCAGATCTAAATGTCATCTTGTGTTCATTATGTTAATTTCTTTATTTAAGATATCTATTAATAGTTTCTAACCATTTTTATAGTACTTACAAAAACAGAAATATGGATCTTAAGCCAATCTGTTGGTCAGGTAGATAATATTATAAAAGTCAAATGTGCCAATAAAATTATCGACAAGAAAGGGAGAAAGGAACACATACACACATTTATACAAGAGGAACAAAGATATCAGCACCTATCTAGAAAATATCTCTATGTATAATATATAACAGAATACTTACATAGAAACTACTTTTTTTTTACTTAAAAATGTTCAAGGTCCAGAGAAACATCTTTCATCATTTATACATTTTTGTTTGGCCAGAGGGAGGTTTGATGCCATGTAGTAGGTATGCAGCTCAAAATACTGAATTTTCTCCAGTTTTAGATCAATTTACAGAGCAAGAAAGGATAAACTTAGGAATGATTTTTGATAGTCTGTTAACAAGTAACCATTGCATTTATTTTGGCTGTTAACTAACTAGTTAGTTCAGTGCTGTAAATTTTGTTTGTGAAAAAGTTGAAAAGATATTAAATTATCAAGGAAGTAGAATATATTTTTCAGACACTCTATACCCGAAACTCTTACTATCTCTGGTTTAGAAGTAAGCCAGTATATCTTTCTAATTTGCAAACGTGTGTGCATAAAGGGTGTGTGTGAAAATACCTTTCTGCTATAGAGAAATTGTGTGTTCAAGTACATTCCATTAGGAGACATACAACTATGTCAGTAACTTTAAAGAGGCAAATGTGTCAACATATCTGCCTAAAACATGTGTCAGAATACCTTTCTACCTTAGAAAACTCATGCATATCTATCTGTGAGATACAAATGTGTCAACATCTCTTTCTAAAAGACAAATATGTCAACATGCAAATCAAGAAGTCACTGACACTTTACATAGTACTCTAACACCAGATTTCTCTACAAGGCTACAATTACTATCTTATTCTTAAATTCAAAATTTCTATAAATAAACCAATAAATCAATTTATTCTTTTCACAGTAGCTAAACACTCAGGTAGTTTGGGTTTTTTTCAACATTAATACGTGAATCCTCAATTTATTACACAACATCAGTGCTCTCATCAGCAAACACTTCCCAATATTAAAAGTTGCCTTCCACAATCAGGCCAATTCTTTAAGAATGTCAAGGTCATTTAGTATCAGACAAGCATCCTCAATAGAATCATCTCTCCTAAACCTTTTTACTATACTTTCTTTTCCAAAAAGATAGCCACATCATTAGCACAAACAGGCTCCTAAGGAACACCATTAGTCATGTCCTCTTACTCAGCAAAGTACCATTACTCTTTTCTTTCTGCCATTTTCTATCCACATCTTATTTTTCTATCAACCCTACAAACATCTAACACAATAAGTAATCTTCTGTGGTAAACCTTATTAAAGCCTTTTAGAAACTTGAGACATACATCAACAAGAATGTCCTAACCCAAGTAGCTGAGGCCATATTATAATTCTCAAACAAATTGGTAATGACAAACCCTTTTAAAGCCTTTCTGAAAGTCAAGGCATACATCACCAAGATTGTCCACAACCAAATGGATGAGGCCTTATTAAAATCTTCAATAAACTGTTAAGACAAGAAATACCTACTAGAAATAATGAATTAATTGCAAACCTTTCAAATACTTTACAACATTACCTCTCTCAGAAATTGTAATATCTAACAACTGACATCAAACTAATATACCACACTATAGTCTTTTCACATGTTCTACAGACTCTTTCCCTTAAAAAAACAACATCAGGTACTTCTTGAGAAGTAACAGCTAAAATCCTCTTTGCTAAGTGTCTTTCAAAGTTTTAGTGTAACTGTCATCAGTGCCAAGGAAGTTTTTTTTAACCTTTTACAGAAAGTGAAGAGAATTTAGGGAAACACTCCACCTCTGTAGATCAGTTTTAAATATGCAATTTTAATCCAAAAGTGTAAGCTTTACTGTTGATTTCTCTATCTTGCGTTATTCACATGAAAAACAACCACAAGGAGTTATATTCTCAATTATAAATTACCTTTATGGTATGAGTAGTTGTCTACATTAAGTTTTCATTATTTCCATATAAAGTACCACCTATGGTCTTTTTCTTATATCATTAATGAATTATGTGTTTATCATTTGTTGTGATATTTAGGTGAATACAAAATATGTCGCATGTCAGGTGGTATCTAGGTAACAATAAAATATGCAAACATGTTTGTTTAGATGATACATCAGAAGTTATAATTTTTATACACTGAAAATATATTTCTGATAGTTATTCTTATTTTGTGCTGCCTTCTATATGGAAGGTTTTGGAAGCTACAAGCCTTTAAACTCCCACCTACCCCATGATCCATGTAGTTCACAGTGTCTTCACATGTAAATCATCATGCGAGAACACTCCACCAATAGAAGTGTGACACAGCCTCTTGACATGTGTGTGACTCCCTCTAGTAGATTATCACTTCGAGATTAGACAGAAAACAAGCACCAGTTTTAAATGGGGAGGAAGGATGGGAAGTAGCTATTGGAAATAAAATTTTAGTGTAGGAAAATTATAACTTCTTATACGGTATCTTATCTCCCTCATACAGATAGATATAGCTAGGATCCCACATTGACCAAGTGGCGGAACCAGTGCAAGGGATATAGATAAGTATTCTTTGAAAATGTCCGAAGAACACATGTGGGAGACTGCACCACTTCTGTACCAGGTATACTCTTCTCTCTGTGTGGTAATAGATGTTTTTACTGGCAGAAAATGGGACGACCACATCCAAAGAAGGAGAGAAAACTGGGTGGGTTCAAACCAAAGTCTCAGAAATGAATGTCAGATCTCCATCCACAAATGGAAAGGTGGGGAAAGCTAAAATGGATGTGCCCCATGGTGTAGAGTGGCTGGGACTCATCAGACCATACCTAGCAGTTCAAGTCCAGTCCAAAACCAGACAGCATTGGGCATATATCATCTGTCCCATGGTAGGATGGGTCCACGCTGTCTTCACCTCAAGTTCAGTAGAACAGAAGGAAACAATTTCCATACTGATCTACAAAACAGGGCACATAACCACAAACAGTCATCGGGGAACCCGATATCTAAACAATGGTAGGAAGGGATGTACCAATTTGGCAGTTCATGTCAAATACAAAATCAATCTGACTTGTTCCACACAGTGCAACATCAGCCTATCAGCCTAAGGTGCTCAAATCATCCTCCCCTGAGGTGAAGCAGTAGAGAGACAACATTTGCATTTTGCAACATCATCCTCTGGATAGGACTGCACAGAAGTTGAAGTGCACATGCATCCAACCTCAAACTCCGGGACCAACTGCATAGATGTGAAATGCATGTTTGAAAGATGTGCAACATCCCCTGGAGAGGACCACACAGAAGCTGGAGCACAACTTCAACCTTTGGGACCCACTGCACAGAAGTGAATTTTTTTTAACATATGCATAATCATACCCTCCAGATACATATAAGACAGTACAGAAGTTGGAGAACAACGTCAAGTACATGCAGCAAAAACCATAGGCCAAGGTAGGAGGAGGAATCATGACTGAAACTGCAATGTGACAACTCGACTAGAAAGCAACATCATCCTCCAGATAGAAGTGCACAGAAACTGGAGCGCAATATCAACCTCCAGGTCCCATTGCACAGAAGTGGATTGCCTCTGTAAAAGATATAGAACCTCATCCCCTGGATACAACTTCACAGAAGCTAGCCACAGCATCAACCTCCATTTCATGTAGGTGCAGCATATTTGTAAAATATGCACATCATCATCCCCCAAATAAGACTACACAGAAGCTGGAGTCCAACATCTAGGTCCCACAGCATGGAAGTAGATTGCCTTTAATAAATATATGCACCCATACCCACTAGATTGAACTGCACAGAAGCCGGTTGCAACATCTATCTTCACCAGTAAATCAACACTACCATACTCTCTACTGAATGGAGGTGGTCACACTCAGGAGGACACCTTTATGGTCTACCACCCCAGTGGCTTGAAACTTGAAAGTGGCAAGGACTCTCATACTCCACAGGAGGAACTTGGGGGGGGAAGGCAATGGAGAGTCCAAAAGAGGGCACTACTAATTGAGAAAGTTAGAATTTTCCTAAATGAAAATGTATTTCCATTAGGTATTTCCTTCTGCTCACAAGATTAGCTTTTCTCATTTTGTGCTGTCCTCTATATGTGAACGTTTTTCAGAAATGCATGCCACAAGCCTTCATCCTCCCTCTGTTGGAATCCAAAGTTTCAACAAGTCATGCAAATCATCATGCATCACTTCTCCACAAATAGGAGAGCACTACTATCACGTGATGCATACAACTCCCTCTACACGCCACTACCAAACTATCACTTTTGAAGTTTGGCAGAACACCCGAGCACCAGAAGATTGTGGGGAGGATGGGTGGGAAATGTGAGCGGAGGGAAGTTAACTATCAGAAATACATTTTCACACAGGAAAATTTATAACTTTCGATAAGGTATTCTCCCTCCGCTCACAAGATTAGCTTGAATCCCACACTGAAATGGAGAAGAGACTGGTGCAAGGGAAGCACAGGTGTATCCCCTGGAAGCATCCATAAGACACCCCCAAAAGGAGAATAACAGATCAGTTTATCTGAGGAGAGGCACTGCACCACATTTGAACCAGGAACACCAACATAATCAGGAGGACCAGACATGGTGGAACATTAAAGGGAAGATATCCACATGGGAGAGGATGGTTTAGTAATGTGATCTTAAACAGAAACAATAATCACCCAATCCCACGATGGAAAGTGGGCAAGTGAGGATGTGTCACATGGTGTAGTGTGGCTAGAAAGAAAAGAAGGCATTAGTGAGGGCTTACCTCATGTCACAGCCACAGGCAATATCCCGAGGAAGCAGAAACAATGATGTAGTATACATAG